GATAAGTGGTGCTCCTTCTATTTCTTGCGTTGCGGTGGTGTGTATCATCCCTTCCCCGCTTCCCTTTCCTCTTTCCAAGCCGCCAAGCCCCAATCCTCTCCCTATTGTGTCGTTGAATCCCCTCTTCCTTACGGCTGACTTCTGCTGCCTCATTTTTCCCAGCCCTATCATCCGGTGACAGCCCCTCCCTTCATCTCGTGACAGTCCTCACCCTCCACCTTTTTCCCACCTATTTTTTAGTTCATGTCTCTACCCCTCCACCTACCGCCTCGCCATCTTCGCCTACCTACCTTACAACTACCAAACCACCCACTGGTCCCACTCTATTGCACTGTAACTCCTAATCCTTCCCATCTCCAATTGCTACTGTGGCCTCCACGATACCATGTTGTCGTGGAACCATGCTCTGCCCCACATACAACCTTAACATTCTCTCAACCCTTCTAATTGCCACCGCAACCCTCCAAGGCTCAGTCGTCTTTCAGTCCTCTGTTTGCAGCAGCCAGTGCAGGACATCAACCAGGCTGCTGTCAAAGCTACGTCCAGACATATTGCCCTTACAACCCCCTCCAAAATCACCCTCAACTTGTTGTCCAGCTGTCATACGTCACCCTTGTCCTCGGCTCGGTTTCCCTTTTAGGTTTTGTGTTATTATTTTTGGTTTGTGTCGTGCTATAACCCTATCATATTATCAATAAAAGTTTGAGGTTCAACCCACTCGTCTAGAAATCTGTTGATGGGTGCCCCGCTGAGCTGACTCTAAAATATAAACTACTCATTATAATAGTCCAGATGTGGGACATAATGACTCGTTTTGGACATACTGGATCTCCCATCATCGAGGCAACTCAGGAAGGAGTCTATAGATCTGAAGTACCTTTCTTGCTCTTGTTTGAGGGGGTCTTGTGTCTGATTGCGACTCCTCATACTCATAATTGCAATGGCCACTTACAATGGATGAGTAGGGATGGTAAAAAGGATGGATACAACACCACCTTGGAGGATACAACCGGAGCACTACCAACTCCTCAGGTACAGACCTTAAACAGGGAAAACTCTCCGCACAAGATATCTAAAAGTAGAACACAACGAAAACTAACCCTAACAAACAAAAAAATACATATATAATAGCTAATAGATAAAATAGGAACAAAAGATTTCCCTTAAATTGGGCAACAACTAGAATACAAGGAGGAGAAGGGCAGACAATATTCCGGCCCTATCAAATTCTCGCTCCTAGGCCGCTCGGCCTGGGTTTACCCTGGACTGGCCTCAATTGGGTTGGTTAGCTCACTAGCGGCAGACCCCACTCCCGCCTCAAGGAGTATGGTTGGGAATGCTACTGTGTAGTGCAGAGCAATTTTTCCTCCATTTGTGTAGATACCACATTTTGACAATTGTATCCATCTATGATGAGTTCGTACACTTTCTCTTTTACAAAATAATGGGTATGAAATATGTTATGCCTGAACCACTGGTGATCCCTCTTAAGCTTGGTTTGGAGAACTAATCGAACCACAAGCATGTCACTGTCATCTGCAAGTATCTAGTACTCCTCTCCATTCTCCTCCTCTGGGTATTCACTCTTGGCCTCTTCCACTACACCTTGCTTAGTAAAGGAAATCACTTATTTTTTAACAGTTGGATGCAATATTCCCATAGCCATGGAATTTGAAACACTTCATGGTTGGAAATGTATTGGGGATGTTGTTCTGATCAGTCCTCTTTTCTTCTTATGCTAGTTTCTCTTCACGGGTGGTAGGTCTAAGTACTCTGGTCAATGTGCCCGTACTACCTAATCTGGTGGTTGGATCTTGTTTAGAGGGTGGTGTAGATCCAATGTTGTGGTAGTCTCCCAACATTCAGGGCCAGAATCTGAGCAACATATAATGTCCAATTGGGTTGCAACTATACCACATTACAAATACACGCTCTCAATTCCCCCCAGATGTTGGATTGTAGTGTTCTCCTCATACTCTATTAGTTCACACTTAAACATAAGATGATTGATCTCAGTTGTGTACTCTTCTACTTAAAGATCTTTCTATTGCAAGTGATAAAGTCTCAAAAACGCACCTTGTCTGTAACACTGATCGGTACTTGCGCTGCATTTCCGTTTTCATTTTTGATTAGGTTGTGATTTTGTCATTTTCCTCTTGCTGAAATAGGTTTTTCATATTCTCTCACCATAAAGATGTACTCTTATTTAACTTAATGGCAAGTAGCTTTACCCTTTTGTCAAGTAGAGTACCTTTGTATTCAAAAACTCGTTCCACTATCTGGAGCCACTCAATAATCTCGTCTGGATTCATACAGCTGTTAAAATTCGATAAATCAACTTTTACTCCGAAATCACTCTCTTTTTCTATACTCAATGTTAAATCAATGTGACATCAGCTCTTCGTCACTTGAAGCTACTTGAAGGAAAGTGTTTTCTTTATCTTCTCAATTTGGGTTGGTCATCGATGTTGTTTTTGTGAGTGGGTTCTCCATGATGCATTCTTCTAGACTCATCGAATCTCTGTTGCAATTAGAGAATTTCCCACTACATGTCCTCTATGGTAATTTCCTAAACTTCTCGTTGAAGGTTTCTTCATGGCAGCATGGCTTCTCTTTGGCTTTGGTACCAATTGACACCATTCTATGGCTCCTAGAAGGTGTGATAAAGCACCAAAAGACGTTAGTATTGATTATGTAAATGGGAGGGAGAAATATTTACATATGGAATACGCACGCAGCTCTGTTGCGTACTCCATTAATCCCGCAATACCCCCATAATAACCTATGAATAGCATCAAAATAGAACCCATAAAGGTTATTGGAAGGTTATTGGGGTTATATGTTATTGAAATTAATTTACCTCAATAACTTCCCAATAAGCCCCTATTAACCGCGAAGCGGAGGTTATTACGCACGCAGCTCTGCGTACGTAGTCTGTATGCAAATATTTCCCAATGGGAGGAGGGTTGGCAGCTGATAATCAACACGTCTGGAAATGGGATGGTGAATCAGATGGGGAAAAAGGGCATATTCCTTCTCCAAACAGTAAATGGCAGCAAAATTGACAGTTGTCCGGCTGTAAAACGTGCCCAAACAGCGAATCGGTGAAGTGCAAACAGTAAGGGGGTTCCACATCTTTTTTGGGCAAGCTCCAGACATACCACTTGAAATAGAAAGATGTTACAACACTCCGAAGAGTGGAAAATCAGAGAAAAGTCTCTCGATTCATAAAATCAGCCAACTGAAGATACCTAATTGGAAAATAGGAAAATAGGAAAGAATTGGGAAGGAAAGAAACAAAGATGAAAACTTCAAGAAGATAGAATAAGCAGCTAAAGAGGACTCTCGGCCCATGAGTCCTGTAATGACGGGGGCCACGAGTCAGGAACCGTGTATCGCGAAACTGCGATATCGCAGGAAGGTTCCAATGCATTGACTGAGTTTTTGTTTTGATTTTTGAAGACATCTATATGATATTGCATGCCAATGTAAAAAGTAATCATTGCTTGTAATTCTAGTTGTGCAACTGTCTACGTGAATGCATGAGCTTTCATTATGAATGCACCTAGCTCCTCGGTTTTTATTGTGAGAAACGCTTTAATTAAATAATTGTAGATGCAATTGACAATTTATATAAAACTATTGTTTATTTAAAGGGGCATTTACTTACATACCATGCAATTATTATATATTTACATATCCAACACCTAAACTTTCATCTTTATATGCATAGAGCTCAAATCATTAATATCAAATAAAAAATACTACTATTGTTTTTCAAAAGTGAAATACATTTTTTCATTCATAAGTTTATGACACCAAAGTGTTATACTTGTAAATATGAAATTTTAGGTGTCCATGTGCTAAATATGTTAATACATAAAATTTATTTTTGGGTGATCAAACTATTAAAAAGTGTGAACGATTTAGATATATTGGGTTTGTTGTTCAAAGCGATGGTGACATAGATGGGGATGTTAATAGTAGAATTCAAGTTGGTTGTTTGAAGTGGAGGAATGCTTCGAGCCTTTTGTGTGATAGAAAAGTACCACTAAGACTGAAAGGAAAATTTTATAAGATGATGGTGAGACCTGCAATGCTCTATGGCGCTAAATGTTGGCCTTTAAAAGAGAAGCATAATACCAAGTTAAGTGTTGCCGAGATGAGAATGATTAGGTGGATGAGTGGCTTTACACTTAGAGACAAAATGCGAAATAAACATATCCGTGATAGGGTTGGTGTAGCTCTAGTGACGGACAAAATTAGAGAGTCATCTTAGATGGTTTGGTCACTTTAAACGGCGACCATCTGATGATCTGATTAGGAGAGTAGATGTTTTAGTTTCGACTTATGGTAAGAAAGGCAGAGGTAGATCTAGGATGCTTGGGCTTATTGCATAAAAAAAGATCTTAATTTATTTAAACTAACTGAAAATATGACACTAAATAGGACGCAATGGAGAAAAAGGATTCATGTAGCCAACCCCACGTAGTGGGATTAAAGCTTTGTTGTTGTTGTTGTATTTAAATTCCTCTATTTAAAATATCAGTTGCTTTTAGGGTATTTAAGAGTTGATGCAGGTTCCAATCCTCACTGCACGCTGCATACTTTACATGCTTATCTAGAATATTTCTTATTTATAGATACACAATGATTCCTGCCTTTGACAATTGTTTGATGATTGAACAGTGGTTGTCCTGGATAGCTTGTTTTTTTAAATTAAATAAACTTTATTGTTGATGGGTCACACTATATTTAAACTGTCTTCACTTTTTCTTTTTCTTTTTTTTGCTTATTGATTAATTTTTATTCTTGCATATCATTTTTCTTCATCACTGGATGTGAAATTGTGGTCTGTCATTTTAATATTTAATAAAAAATTTATGTTTATTGTAATGTTCTATTCAATTGTGTGGTGCTGCTATCGCATCATCTTTTTCTTTTTCTGGTCTCAAATTTAAGTACAGCTAATAAATTTTAATGTTCTGTTTGCCATTCAGTTCGGAAAAACCCAAGATCCTGAGCTACCTGGACACCTCCTGTTGGAACAGTATCAGGTTGGTCTTTAGTACTTCTCTTTTTATTTACTTATTAATTCTGGAATGACTGGTTGATCGCAAGAACTTGCACCATATTTTCTTGCTCGTATCAAATTACTTTGTTTAGTAGCTGAAGCTGCCATTTTCTTGACTATAGGCTCAATTAGTATCTGCTGTGCGATCAGCAATAAGCACTTCTTCTAGTCCTTTGCTTCTGGAGGCTGGCCTGCAGTTGGCTACCAAGGTCCAACTTGAACATTTATTAAAATTTTAAATTTTTAATCAGCATCTGAAAAATAGAAATTCTCATTCTTCTTGAAATTTCAGCTTCTTACAGGTAGCATCCTTAGCGGGGACCGTGTTGCTGTTAGTCGAATGTTTTCATTAATTTCCAAGCCACTTAATGAAATTAAGGACCTGTGCTACCCATCATTTGCTGAATGGGTTGCATCCAAGGTTTATCTCTCTCTCTCTCTCTCTCTCTCTCTCTCTCTCTCTCTCTCTCTCATATACATCATAGTTATCAGAAAGCGAGAAAAGGTTTTGAAAGCATTTTAAATTTCTTCCTATGATAGATTAAAGTGAGATTATTGGCTGCCCATGCTTCCATCAAAAGTTTTGTGTATCAGTTCTTCAGAAAGGAAGACAATATTCCAGATGAGTATCTGCAGCTTGCTTCTCTGCTTTCAAGTAGCTCAAGTATTTTGGGCCAGTACTGGATTAGCATTCTCAGGGACTATGTTTTTATTAGCTTTGGCTTGAATTTGAAGTCTAGCGTAAGGCAATCTGCACTCAAAACAAATTTTGATTGAAAACTATATGTCTAAATTTCTTATGACTACTATTACTTGGTGATGATGCTCTTTTATTTTTTCTTATGCATCTGTAAAGTTCAAACCCTTCCTGGATGGTATTCAGTCACCAATGGTTTCATCCAAAATGCGAGTTTGCATTGATGAAGCATGGCCATTGATATTGGAAGCAACTTCTCTAGATGCAATTCCTGTGAGGTTGGAAGCAGACCAGGCTTCGAAAACTAATAGCATAATAAATTTTCAGAAGTCTTCTTTTATATCAGGATATGGCATGGTTAGACTAGAACCCAGGGATTTTGATTTTCTTTGGGGGCTGTCATTGATGGTTCTATTTCATGGGAAAGAACCTCTTCTGTCCACAAAAGAAAAAACTTTATTTTGCTATACAAAGAATAAATATGATGGTGATTCAGTACTTGAGGAGACACATGATCTGGCATCAGGTGAAATTGCATTATTGGTTTTTCAATCTCTTTCTCAGGAAAGATTTTTCCGCCCAAAATTTATCACATTGGACTCATGCAAAGAACTTCTTCAGGTGGGTTTTATAATTCATAGTTATATTCTTTTCTTTTATTATTGAAGAAAAAGTCCATGAAATTTGAGTCATCCTTACAAGTTGTATGTTTTTGTCTCTAAACAACAGAACCTTGTGTATGGCGACATTTCATCCGATTATCTTGGAATTACTAGTATTTTTGTTAGAAGCTTTTATATCGAATGACTTGTATTGATCAATAAATGCTTCTTGTTAGAATTTTCAAGTCAATTGAAATATAACACACCACATCATATGATGTTTTGAGCTTGTCTAATGATTCTAATTTTTAAATACACTGGTAAGGCCAAGCTTTCATATGAACTTTTGTAAGCTATATAGTTTTCATTTGATACGTGGTTACTGTAATATTCAAACATCATTAAAATTGAAATAATCTATCATTCAGTGAATTTCATGTTGTATAGGAAATAAGCTTTTTTATCATGTATTTGAAGAATATAAAAAATCAATAAATAAGATAATTTCTCGTAATAGGTTGCAAAATAAATTAATAATTATCAATAAATAAAATCTAGAAAGAAGTGTTTAATATAATAAGTTTACCCATAAGTATTTATTTGAGAGTTCGTACTCATTTTCCATCGATAGCTTTCCAGGAAACTAAATATATCATAAACATACATCTATTCCTATTTCCACAAATATGATGTGATTCTCATGATGGCATTTTTCTAAAAGACTATTGATGCCATAACGTTGTGATCATCCCTGTTTCATATGCAGCCTTGTCTGTATTGTTCAATGTGATTGAGAGCTAATTTATCTACACTTAAAATTTCTATTGGATCAAGAATAGATGAGCTAGTTTTATGACAAATTATTCCTCTGGTGCAGATTCTTGTATATGCTGAACATACATCTAGCTCATGGAATAGTCTGGTTGCTGGATTACTTTCACAGGTAAGCCAAACTGAAATCTCTGAATGAACATTTGCTTTGCTTTAGATGATCTGTTTCGTTAATTTTCTCTGATTTAGTTGTTAAGGATACGTTGAAACTCTTAAACTAAGGGTAATAGATTCATTTTCATATTTTTTTTAATTATTTAGTAGCATATTGATATTGAAGTTAACCCAAACCAAGACGTAAGACATGAATTTATTAATAACTTAAAAAATGATTACAACGGTGACTCGAAAGAAAGGAAAGACACTACGCAAATTAAAATATAAGACGAGGCATGACAACAGGGACTTAGCATATAAAGACACACCAAGTTTGACGAGGAGGGAGTTTGGAGAGCCGGTGCCGAAGCGGTGGCTGGGGTGAAGGCCGGAGCGATGTCGGGTGAGGGGTTAGCGCTCATCGAGGCGTCAAACTGCAGCCGGAAGATGGATGGCTGCAGTCAAGGCCGAAGAGGTAGGCTGCTGTGGAAGACGGAGGAAAGCAGGTTGATGATGGTTTTGGCGTCAAACCGCAACTGGAACGACTGGTGACAACAAATGGAGGCGCGTGGGAAGGCCTGGAGGGGTGGCTAGCTGCTGTGTGGGAAGTGGCCGGAGCTGTGACGACTGCAGGGAAGCTGCAGGAGAGCAGTCGGCAATTCTGAGAAGACAACAAGGGACTGTGGTGACTTGTGAGGGACTGCAGGGAACTGTGGCGGTGTCGGGAATGCAGCAGGTGGCTGCGAACTGTCTGCAGGTAAGCTGCAGTGGGCTAGGGGCCACCTGGGAGGACCCGCAAAGAGTTGCTGGCTGAAGGGAGGCTGCAGGGATGGGAGATTGGTGGTCGGAGAGGTGCAGGGAGGAGCTGGCACAGTCCTGCAGTGAAGCTATAGGAGGCCTGGTGGATGACTTGGAAGAGCAGCAGGGATGCAGAACCCTGCTGGGAGGAGGTAGAGGATCGTACGATACTTTGGAAGACCGAAGAAGACGGAAGCTGCCTGCTGAATCGCTTGAATGGCTGGAACGACGGAGAGCTGCCAGTTTGGTTCAAAGTTTAACCACCCATGCCTCGAATAGTATTTTTTTCATCGTCACTGATATTCTGAATTCCTATGTTTATGAGCGACAATGATTTTCTGAAGCCGTTCTAGCAAAACAATTGTCTTTCCCTGCTTCTATTTCTTCTTTGAGGATGTCTTTGCTTTATATGATTATTTTTGCGTCCTCTCAAAAGCTTTAGGCAAATTAGCAATAATTTCTACTGTCCTACAAAACCTAACCGGAGGTAATTCCATGAACTCAGGTATATTAGCCCTAAGAAAAACTCCTGCAGCAGCCGACTTGATTTTTTTTTTTATTCTCTTGAACTTCTTTTGCTAAGAATATTTTGCCTTCGTTTCATGAAATGGTTGTGGATGAACAAATTTCCATTCCGTAAACTGTTCAGTTAATTCAATGAACAATCGATTGATAAAATATATTATGGGCACCACGATGCATGTGATTTCTTACCAAAATAAGGTATATTAAATCTGTTGATATCCTATCTTGGCTATTTTTTTCTCAACGAAAGGTTCTATTAATTTTCTGACTGGTATTCCGTACTCAGCTATCAGTATGTTGTACTTATCAGATTGTTTATTACCTGTTACAGGTCGTGCTATTTTGCCCTGATGTCTACTTTGAGATGGAAGATTTCACAGCTGCTGCTATGGAATTGTTTTTCAAATGCTTATCAACATTTCATGGGTAGTTAACGCAAATTTATACCAATACACAGTTTTTCCATGCACCCTTCCCCCCTTCTTTTTAGTTTTTACAGCTGATGCACTATGCTTTCACATCTATGCACCCGTTGATGCATCCATATTTCTCCTTGTGCTTACTGCAGTTGTAACATGGTTTCAAAAGATGAAGCAAGTTTCACAAGATTCTTTCCGCAATTATTCTCGACTGCCGAAGGGTTAGTAAAAAGGATGAACAATAAGGTGCGCTCTCCTGCGAATTGTGGATTTCTTGATTAGTCCTGGCGTATTTTTTGTCAATTTTGCGAACTAAATTGTTACAGTCGAACAGAAAAATCAAGAAAGGATGATTACAGCCTTAATTTCAACAGCTTGTGAGTGGTTTAGAAGAGCATCAACTAAGCTATGCTTGTACAAAGTACTTGCATTTCTCCATAACCTCGTGACCTTTTTGAAAAGCTATATAAAAGGTATGTGTGTCGATTATTGGTAAGCTTCTCTACTTCATGGCAGCTCATTTTCTTTTATGTGAATGTAAACTTAATTTGACTCATGGCTAAAATATAAGGCAATTAAGGGTGTGTTTGAGGTAGCTGCAGCTTATTCAGCTTATCCAGATAAGTAGTTTATCCTGATAATTTGTTGATCAGCAACTTATTCTGATAAGCTTGCAGTTGTTTGGTTTGTGCGTTTGGAGAACGGTTGACTCTGGATAAATGATCATTCTGCCCCTGTTCTGGATAAGTTGTTTAGTTGTTTGGTTTGTGCGTTTGTAAAACAGTTGATTCGTAGTTTTTACTGAATAAATGACTAATCAGGCAGGCAGTTGTTGTGATGTTTGCAATAAAACTGAAATGGCTATACATTAGATCATTTAGAACCAAGAAAATCCCATCACAACAGTACAAAAGAGGACATACACTTAATAGTGATTATCAAGAAACCTAATAAAAAAGAAGAAATAATATGTTAAGACTACAAGTAGAAGAATGACAATATTCATTTTAAAATGTAGAAGCGCGTCACGAGCAACGTTGTCCGGCTGTGGCACCAGAGAACTCCGAGCAACATTGTCGGTTGGGATACCGGCGAACCTCGAGCGACGTTCTCCGATTGGGATATTATAGAACCTCGATCAACATTTTTTGTTTGGGATGTCGTATAATCGGTCGGAATGTTTGTCCACCTGAAAAACTTGTCGCGGGCACCTATAGAACTGCCACCTGTAGCTATTTGGCTTGTGCGACATGAGTAACAAAGACGGCAGTCCGCAGAGGTATAGCACTGCCCGAATATCTTTGAAAATCTAGAGTTCATCGTCCTGCAGTTATTAAAGAGAGAAAACGTCATTTGTAAGATTAGAAAAATTAGAAAAAAAAAATGTTGAAAGTGAAAATACGAAGCAGTACTGAATCAAGAAACAAAAATCTAATTAGGAAAGAATAACAGGCGTTAGTACCCCGAGAGCCCGTAAGGGCCAAAGATTATTGAGTGTCATATTTTCATTTAATTCTAATAAATTAAGATCATTTTTTTTATACAATATGCCGAAGTATTTTTAGGTCTACCTCTGCCTTTCTTAAGACAAATTTAAAACATCTACTCTCCTAACCAGATCATCAGATGGTCGCGTTTAATGTGACCAAACCATCTAAGATGACTCTTTCTAATATCCGCCGTTGGAGCTACTCCAACTTTATCACAGATATATTCATAGGCTGGTCAGGGAGGGTCTTGGCGGACTGTTAGATGGTGGAGGGACAGCTGCGGAAAACGCCAAACAGCAACGAGGAAGATGTCGGAGGGATTGCTGGCAACAGGACAGCTGCTTGGAGATGTCAAACCGCCAGGAAATGTGTCGATGTTGGTTTTTTTTTTAATGAAAATAATTTAATATATA